ACACAGTCAGCATTGCTGAAACCTGAGGTGCTGATAGAACATACATATACTCAGTTTTCAGAGAAAAGGAAGTATAGCTGACCAGGACACAGGAGGATGAATTCTGGACACATTCTGCCATACATCCTCTCCCCCTCCCCTTTCCCAAGCTGAGTAGAAATATTAGCATAAAGTGTACAGCTTTGACAGTGTTCCCTTAATATTCATCCAGAGTGGGCCTATGTGGTGCTGCCGTGTGTATAGCTCTACCAGACAATGCTGTAAGGTAATAATTGATGGTTTCGCAGAATGAATTTTTATTTCCACCCAATATCATCAACTATTGGAAAAGTTGCCTCTAACAGATCATATGTTGTGACATTCCTTGTATTTGCTGGATGCTCTATCCAATCAATTTTTCACCTTTTGGTACCTTTTGATGGATTTATGCAGCCACAAGATAAGCATTGTTGAAGATCCAGCAAGAAAGTAGATTTGGGATGTGTGTGTGTGTGTGTGTGTGTGTGTGTGTGTGTGTGTGTGTGTGTGTGTGAAAGAATTTTTCTTCCAAGGAAAACCACTCGGTAGGTGGATAGGTGAGTGTTTCCTTTGAAATGTGAGAATATTTAAAATGTAAAGCACTGTTCTGTTAGAAGAAAAGATTTATGTTTATGTAGTTTTTGGTGTATGGTGTATGGTGAAAAATAAAATTTCTTAAAAAAAAAAGAAATGTGAATAAAACAACTCCTTCACTGTTATTTCATAATTGCATAACAGGTTCAGACACAACAACCAGATAAGAGAGACCAGTCCCAATTCAATTTTAGATGTCCACGCTTCTGTGTAATGTTTGAATGAGTGGCATGCAGATAGAATTAAACATCCAGATAATATCCTGAAGTGGATATGGAGAAGGGAAGTAAAATTTAATATCTGAGCATTGTATTCATGTGGGTGACCAAGATGAGAATAAGCAATATTTATTAACTGGGAAGGAATGCCTGAGGTCTTTTAATATACAGGGGAGACCTCCATAGTCAACAGAATGTAGTCGTTAGAAAAGTGCATCCCTAAAAAAAAGGCCTGCCCTCATAGTCCATTTTTCAAGGCCCAAATGGAGAGGAGCTAAGAAATGAAACTTCCACATGAAACCTTCAACTATCAAATCTTTTCCAGGTAATTTTGTGGGCAGTAAACCTGAAGGAGACATAGCAAGGGAAAAACTGAAACCTTGCTACATGAGGATTTAAGCAGTAACTAGACTTACTCTCCATCTGTAATCTATTAAATAGTTCAGTCAATTGATTAGTTAAATATAGAAGCATTCATAGCAAGTAAAATATATTATGGAAATTAGCTAAGTTGGTTTTACTGAGATGTGGAGGTGTGATGGATCAGCTCTTAAAGATACTGAGCTTATCAGCTGGAAAGCTGACAGCCCAGGTTTGAGACCCAGCCACTGCCAACTTAGCAGTTCGAAAGCATGCAAAAGTGAGTAGATAAATAGGTACCACTTCACTGAGAAAGTAACAGCGTTCCGTGCCCCTTGGCGTATAGTCATGGTGGCCACATGACTACAAAAAGTATCTTTGGACAATGCTGGCTCCCTCAGCTAAGAAACAAAGCACTGTCCCCCTAGAGTCGGACACAACTGGATAGGGAAAACCTTTACTTTTACTGAGATACTAAGCTTGATATGAACTATTTGATACTGAATACATATAGATATATGTTATTCTATTCTGTTTTTAGCATCTCTGTATTATTGAAGGTACCAGATTGCATTGCTTGGTTTCTTGTTGTCTACAAGATTGTGTGCTTCGGGGGGAAAAAGTAGTAAATAAATAGAAAGGTCCATTATTCATTGTTTCATTATGAAATTTCATTTTATGCTTCTGGAGTAGTTACACAGGCATATTGTTTGACATTGCATTAATCCAATTTATTCCATCTGAAGCCAGTGTACTCTACTGTTTTTTTCCCTTCCTTTTCTTTTATGTTCTGATATTACTGAAGGCCCATTAACCTACAAAATTAAAAAAAAGACACAGCTTATTAAAAACGTATTCAAAGATTAAGAGTGTTCAGCCAAAACATTCTCTTGCCATATAAAGACTTTGGCAGTACAGTATGTTTAAATGGCTTTTCATTGCATGCAAGTATAAGTCTCAAGAGCACAGGCAATTTGGAATTTAAAACTGGAAACTTGTTGCAGTGATAATTGCACTTAAAGAAAATGGATGAAGAGGATATGTTTTGGTACTTGGATTATTCACACTTCCTTGCTGCATAATTATAAAACTGTTGCATATCAAAGAAGATTTTTGCTAAACATTCTGAAAGACTTGGGCAAATTGATTTACTTCCTAAGATGTTAGCACTAATTTAATGTGTATTCTCATATGGATGAAAGTACATGTAAATCATACTCATAATCATGTCAGTATAAGACTTACTTCAAATTAAATATTTGCATTCATATAGATTTTTTAGAAACATTCCTGTCAGTATGCATTGGAAAAGTAAACAGTTTGTCCATTTTATAGTTTTTAAGGCAATTGGACAACTTAAACTGAAGAAAACTGATGGTAAAATACATAATTGATTCTAGTCAAAAAGTGGCTAATGCTAAGAAAATGAACTGGGAACACTGTCAAGGACAGTGCTAAACACAGAATCTGCAACCTGAAAACTTAAATACTGGTCTGATAAATGCCAGTTAGCATTTGAGTAATTATGAATGCTAACTAGCATCCATTATCAATGACCAACACCTCTATTTGCCTCTGAAGACCTCATGTATCCATCTGCACTCTTATATCTTTCCCAAAGTCAAGATTTGAAAGGTTTGGTACCAGATAGCTCAGAATGTAGAAGGCTAAGTGACAATTAATAACTCCATTGTCATTACCTTCCAATTATGATAAAAGTCAGAAATCTAATTTGGATATTGTTTCTAATATTTGTAAATTGTTTTTGCATCTACATGTAATGACGTTAAGTTCTTTGGATAGTTCATGTACTGGTAAGAAGGTTCACCTGCCTTAAAATCAGATGGTAGATAGACAGTCAGATCTGTCTATATCTCCCGTTATGTTTTCTGGGCAGCTTCCATAAATCTGGAATATACAATATAAATATTAATAGCACTTAGACTTATATACCACTCCATAGTGAATGGTTTACAATATCAGCATATTGCCTCCAACAATCTGGGCTCTCGTTTTCTGACCTCGGAGGATGGAAGGCTGAGTCAACCTTGAGCAGGTCAAGATCGAACTCCTTGCGGTGGGCAGAATTAGCTTGCAATACTGCATTCTAACCACTGTGCCACCATAGCTCCTCCTGCATTATAAAATAATATAAATAAAGAAACTGAAATATCTTTAATATATGGCATATAAATTATTAAACCAATATTATAAGGCATATATTATTCATGAGCTCAATAGAAATAAGATCACATTACATTTATATTGGTCCCAGAGGAAACACATAAATACGCAAGATATTTATATACCACAGTAACAGATTGGCCTGCTACTGTCTTAGGAATTGGGATGACTGTGGTGAGAATGCAAGCTAAGAAAATAAAGGAGAACAAATGGGAATGTGTCTGAATTGTATTTGTGTGAATAAGAAAGGTCAAAATGTGCTTGGGCCCTGATTGCTGCTCCCTATAATCTTGGTATGGTTGTCCACAATAAGTGATCTTCCTTTTAAATTTTTGAGATATTTGGATATCTTCATCTGCGCATTAGTTAAGAGATTATGGAAGCTTAGAAAAGAAAATGCACGTAGCACTCACACATCTGGTAGGCACAGCTTCTTGTAATCCAAGATTATTTTGGTGTCCTGGATTTGGATGCCCATGACCGTATACAATACAGTAATTTGTAGTATGTTCAAAGACAGTAATTTGTTTGATCCCACCATCCACCTGATCTGTTTTCTTTCACTGCTAGTTCTTTAACCCTGCCAAGCTTCACTTGTATCACATGCTCAAAGTAAGTTTGGATGATTCTTTATTTGATTCAAGATTGATTGGTTGTTCTTCAGCTTAGTAACAAGCCACAGATCCATAATTCATTTTTTTCCTTCTCGAATTTGTATTAATGTCAAGGTTTCATAATTGCTTATGACTCTTCTCACAACACATTCAAGTCACGCAGTTAAACAGATTGGCAGAAAGTAAAAGTTACACACACAAATATGTAACAGAATGTTTTATTATTGGTGTTCTTCACAAAGCAAAAATCTAGGAATTAAATGAAATATAAGTTACAAATGTTTTTATTTTAATGTTTCTATATTACTGTTTCATGATAGTTTTACTATGCATCACCAAAAGGCATTGTCTAGTGAACATTATTAGCCAAAAGATTTCAACTAAAAGATGATAAAATATAATAAGCTCAATATGCTAAACAATACATTTAGTCTTCTTAATATTTAGTTTCTTAATATTTGGTAGAAGAAAATGTAACTGTCTTTAACAATATTTCCTTTCATCTGTATTCATTTCTTTTTATATTTTGATTGCTTACACACTTGCTTGATATTTGACATAGGATGAATACAAGTGATTGAAATTATTTCTTTACTTTCCCTTGTGGATTTATTTTCATATTCTATTCACATTAGAATGGTAAAAAGAGAGGAAGGAGCTTTTAATGTGCTTAGCTGACTCTCCGCTCTTATTATGTTTGATCAGTAAAGAGCAGCACTGGAAATAAAAACGGGAGAGAAGCTGTATGCAAGATTTTAAATGCCCCAGGGAATAAGTTTATAGCTTTTTAAGAAGAAGATTGTCATTCTTACATTGATAAAATTCTGCTAGAAATGGTTTGCTTTCATTATTACTTTTTCAAGCATAGGTTGGTAAATTTAGTCTTAATAACTACTATGCGCTTTGCATTGACGTATAGGTTTGCCACCCAGTTTCATCTTAAATAGGAGTGCTAAAAATAAATCTATTTGATTCTGACTGTCCTATGGTTTTATTGGCTCTTGTCTTCCAGGACCATGGGCCACTAGAAACAATAGCATTGACAGTGGGGAGGCAGAGGTCGGACGGAGGGTCACGCAAGAAGTGCCACAAGGAGTATTCTGGCGAGCACAAATTCACATTGCGCAGCCACAGTTCCTGAAATTCAATATCTCTTTAGGGAAGGATGCACTTTTTGCTGTCTATATAAGAAGAGGACTTCCACCATCCCATGTACAGGTATTGTACTAAGATGCTTAATAGACCAAAAGAAGATGATGATTAAAAAGAATGGCAATTGTTTTGTAACTACTGTATCTTTTTATCTGAGGATTTGGGTTACTTCTTCTATGTTTAGCAAAGATTCTATGAATTTCCATGCCTCCATTACATTGAGGGCCATTTCTAGGACTGATAACATCCTCATGCAGTAATATCACAATCATTTCTTTCTCTATTAGCTTTTTCCCACTTGGTGTCCTTCAGATCTTCTGGAACATTGGATTAGGACAATATGGCCTAGAATTCCCAAGCTGCCTGGTAACTGGTATCCCACAATAACTTTTAGGTGCTGAGTTGGGGAAAGTTCTTAGAGATCTAACTGGAAAGTGAAAAGGAGGAGGGGAAACCAGTGATGAACCAATAGAAAGCAGCCTTTCAGAATAGCTACTTCTGGTTTAAGGGGACTTTTGTAAAATATGTGAGACATTATCTACAACCTTTGCTTTGCCATATGTATGTTTGTAATCATATTCTTACAGATACAAGTTTAAATTTGGGAGGATGTTCTAAATTTGTAGAGAAAATGACCAGACTATCACCCAATTCTATCCTATTAGCCTAGTTAAAATGCAAAGAATGAATAACATAAATTCTACCTGGGATTTGAATTCCTGCATTTGGTATTCAAATCCATAAATCATTGCTTAAGTTTACTCCTAAGTACAGTCTTGCACTGCAGGAGTCCATAGTCTTGGCTTTCCCCAAACAAAACAACCTTTCTTTTATCCTGGCTTCATTTAATAATATTCACCTATTTCAATATGCCCAGAAATTATGCACTAGCTTTCTGAGCAGCTATAAACCTTGACAACAGGATAACGCTACTTGGCAGCATCTATTGATTACTTAATGTGCTGTTAGGAACAGTCTGTTCTATCCCAGAATAAAAGCAGCATTAAATGCTTTTCTATATGTCTTGTGAGATTTATATACATAATCTGGAGTCGACATTAGGTAGTGTCCTAAATCTGAAAATGAAAATGTCATATTCCCACAATTTAAAATTTTGATTTGGCAAAGTAGTGTAAGGCTTCACTTGACAGTTCATAACTGATTAATGCTGATAAGCCAAAGCAAGTTAAAATCCTTTAAGGGAACAAGTCAATAATCAAAAAATTAGGTACATGATTAACCTGAGAATATGAAGACACAGTCCCTGTCTGAAAACCCCAATGAGTTTGAAGCTTCTACGTAACTCTTTAGCAAATATTTCAAGTGTCTAGTCAGTCAAATTGATGGAGCTGGGGGCCTGTTTAGGAACAGTTCTGTGGATAGGGAATGAAGTGTCAAAGGGATAGCAACCCTTCAGAAATGCTACCTTGAATGACATATTAAAAGCAAAAAAAAAAAAAGTTTGATAGCTCTGTGAGCTCTTGTAATAAAATTCCTAACATGCTTCAGTAAATTACTCTTAATCTTGTTGCATTTTTTATCTGTTGTACTGAAAATTAGTTGAATGTTTAGGTGCCTGAGGACTTTATCTGTATTATACATTCGTGTCCAAGCAAAGAGAAATATGTTCATCAATAAAATAGTCCAAATGAAAAGAGTAGAAAATATGATAATAATTAATACAAAAAACTATTAGTGCCTAGTCAACTTAATATCCTTAATCCGCCTTTCCTATGTAATGTTACACTCAAGGAAATGGAACTAGAATACATCTTTGCCAAAGCAAGCAACTCTTTCCATTATCCTAATTACAAGTAAAGGCTAATGATTTAACTAGTCCCCTCCAATCTACCTTGTAGCTCCAAAAATATTGGATTACACATTGTAGTCCTACTTCTCATGGAAAAAGTAGTACAACATATCTGTAAGATACAAGATTGGAGATAGATGGACTAAACTCCATTAACAGCAGAGCAAATTTATAAAGTTTAAAAAATATGTTTGTCATTAGAGAGAAGAAAGAAACAATTTTCCTATAAATTTTTGCATAATAGAAGAATGAAGATTATTGTCAAAACAAAAAACAGAATATGCTCAAAGGTTATAAATGCCTTTACTAAACAAGAATTATAACTATTCTTTAGAGACATGACATACCTTCAAAGAAAGCAACAACAACAATAAAAATATTTTCTCTGTCATTTTATTTTAAACGTTTAAAAGTTGACATGGGACTTGCAGTACCTCAAAGTAAAATATATTTCACTACATCTTCAAAAGTTTGAGATGCCTCTTAATAATATGAATTATCTTAAAATGCTATATCACGTTCCACATATTTATAAGTTAGTGTTTGACACCAATTCCACAAACACCAAAGAAATTAAATAGCAGTACAGCCTATTAAGTGTGGTATGAAGGAAACATAAACATGGAAAATGCAAACTCAATAATTTCTAGATGAATTATTCATCCCTTAATGGGAGTATACAACTTCATCTCAAGAGTGTGAAAAGTCTAGGTTTGATTGTACTTGCTTCTATTATAAGAGCAGCTGCTCATGAAGGGTTCTAGACACATGACAGTGATATAAACAGTCATAGGAGTAGTTACTGATTACTTTCTCTCTCCTCTTTCCCCTCTTATCCTATTCTCCCCACCATCAATGAAGCAAGATACATTTTAGGAACAAGTCAAAGGTGTAAAATAATGGGAAAGGGAATTTTTAATATCTCATTGGTTTTAACATATTTTTATAATCAAATAAAATCAAGTGGGAAATTTAACTAGATTCATTTATGTCCTCTGGAAAAGATGATAACTTACCTTATCTACCCCCCCCCCTTCATGAACATTACTACAAGCTAGATGAAAGGAAGTCTAATGACACAAAAACTCTTAAGGCTTAATGTAACTCAGTAACCACATTAAAGATGTTTATGTGATATTGATATACTGAAAATTTTCATCAATTTATAAAGAACTTTGAATTTGGGGTAAACTTGGAATTTTATTTGGTTGGAAAGAAAATACCACTTAAAATCTTAAAGAGTACAGAAAAAGTCCTTGAACTCATTCTTTATAATTTATGTCATTCTTTATGTTTCAACAGAAAAACGGATCAATAGGATTCTATGTGGACAAGATTTAATTGATTCTTAAACACAAAATCATTTTTATTTAATATATGTGTGCTTTGAATTTTTTTTCTTTTGTCTAATATCATTTGGTTGGGATTGTGAGAGACCTCACAATGTGATGTGCAGGTTAAGGTCTTAGCGTAGGAATAAGGAAAGCCATTGCATTCCATGCTGGTTGGTGATTTGGAAACATACATTCTATCTGCTCTAGATATGTCAGAAAAACATATACAATATCTACTTATCCACCTTGGACCAACATTATGGATTAATGGATTAATTTGTATAGACAGATGATAGACAGATGATAGATAGATAGATAGATAGATAGATAGATAGATAGATAGATAGATAGATAGATAGATAGATAGATAGATAGATAGATAGATAGATTTTTTAAAAAAACTCCTTCCAAAATAATTGAAGTGAGACTTCATTAAATCAATTTCTATCTCTAATTTCATCATCTTATAGCTTCATATATAATTTCTTTTTTTTTACAAGAAAGCTTATCTTTTTGTTTCTAGCATGTGATTTTTGACTACAGATACACTTTTATTGTAGAGTTGTAGGAAATTGGCTAAAGAGGAAATAAAGTCACCCTCCCCAAGTCAGATTTGAAAGAAACTTTCTTTTTGAATTTAAGATGTAAGAACTGATTAGCAATATATTCAAAGATCTATTCTTCATGTCAATAGAGCATACAACTTGTTTCTGATTTCAGAGATGAAGTTACAGTCTTTCACTGTGTGGTCCACATCTCTCACTTTTATCCATTTATGCCTGGCTTTAGGGGGAAAGTGACATTTTCACCAAGAACATTTTGTAAAAACAGTTCATTATAAAATGCATTTTATTAAAAGTTCAATAGAATAGAACAGAGAAATGTAAAGTAATGAGCTGGCCTGACAGCTAGTGAAGCAGAATCAGACTTTGAATTCTGTCTGTAGCTGGTTTACATTAACAATAAAGACAATAAAGACAAAGCACCTTTTTATTGAATTCACTAGCTAAAGTTTATACATCACCTCAAGGAATAAAAATCCAGCTCATCCCTACTTTTTGATGTTGTTATTCTCTTTCCCTATAATAAATAAAGCAACAGTTCAAAATATTTCCACTTAGCATTAGATACATTGTAAGAATATTTTTTTTTAATGTTCAGTATACACTGGTCCATTCAATAGTATAATATTTGAGGAAGAAATGCAAAAGAAGCACATAAGGTTGAAAGAGAACTTGTAGTTTACTTACAGGGCATCTAGTTTTCATGTAAGGTTCATATGTAGAGTCATAGGCTTTTTTAAAAAATGGAGATCATGCATTGTAACTGCCATTGAGGATTAATCATTCTGGGTTAGCCAATCCAATGATAGGAATGTTTGAGCCTAGCAATAAAGTAAAGAAGTTTATATTCTAAACTGCTTACCAAATATATAAAGGTAAAGGTTTCCCTTTCAGTCATGTCTGACTCTAGAGCATGGTGCTCATGTCCATTTTTTGGCCAAGGGTGTTGTCCAAATAATATTTCCATGGTCATGTGGCCAGCTATATGCCAAGGGCGCACAGAATGCTGTTTCCTTCCCAATGAAGTGGTACCTATTAATCTACTTGTATTTGCATGCTTTCAAACTACCAGGTGGAGAGGAACTGGGGCAAGTAATGGGAGCTAACCCTGTTGCGTGAACCTCGGATCCCGAACCTGGGCTGTCAGCTCTCCAGCTGACAAGCTCAGTGTCTTTAACTGCTGAGTCATTGCACTCCTACCCAAATATGTAACAGCATATAAATCTTGTTTTCCTTTTGTAACTTTGTCTAAGGCAAACTATGAAGAATTTCTCTACTAAGTCAAGAAGAAACATGTTCCTTTCTGAAAATACTGTGGATATTTTCTATTTGTAATCATTTTGTCGTGTTCTTTTTCATCCTTCTGTTTTTTTTTCATACCAGAAAAATTGACTACAGAAAGATAAAACTACTCTTAAACGGATGACACCCTATATTGTTTAGGGTCAATTCAGAAAGGGTTAGTAGGGTTATAGCCACTCAGAAGCAAAGCAAGTATCCAACTTGTTATAAACTCCACCTTTATCAAATATTAAGCATTAAAAAAACAAAGTTTGACAAAAAAAACTAAAAGTAAAGCCCAGTACATTTATTACCACAAATGAGTAGAGAAACAGTTAACTCTGTAAATTCATATTTATTTTGGTATATATATTTCTTAATGTATACCTCTTTCCCAATTTTTTTTCCTATGGGAATTTTTCACTAATATATTTACATTAGTTTTCTTTCTTTTTTTTTTTTTTGAGCTGAAACTTGCATGGCAAAATTCAGAAAAATACACAAATCTCAAGGATTCTGATTCACAGAACAATGTCAGATCCAGATGAAATACAATTCCTCCCAGATGAAATCCCTCAACAATTTTCTATTGAGGTACATAAAATAAAGGAGAGTACTTCTTATTGACCAATGCAAAAAAAAATGTCTGTTGAACTCTGAACCTAATAGAAAACCTCTGAATTTTGAGATTTGTCACTTATAAAATGGGATGAGATCACAACTGCAGGGCCACATACAGTTCTGTGTCCAATCTAAAGCCATTTCTCACTGTATTTCCACTATATTGTGGAGAAAAACATCCTCCACATCTCCATCTCTTTCAGTGTCTGAGATTTAATGGTTAAGCAGCCATTGTAAAATGTCTTTTTCTGTAATCTTTACTCTTAAGCTTTGGCATTCATTGTGGTACTTCACCACAGTTATATAAAAATGTCTGAGAACTAGATCATATTAATAAGGGTGATAAGATTATTTGAAAAGGAATACTAATTTTTCAAAAAGAACCATTACTCCTCTTTCATGTTGCCATTGCATTTAATGCAGATATAAGATGCATGGATTTTTATTACCAGTTCTTAATACTGAGCATGATCAATAGCCTCCATCATCTCATTTTAGTCATTCCCCGCATTCACTGGCTTGGAATCATTTGAGATTGGGAGATTGTTTATCTTCTATTTAAGCCAACCTCTTCACTATCCATGTCATCTATCCATCCAGTTGCCTACTGCCTTTTGGGAATAATAGGAAGGCAATAAAAGCTGTGGATTAGACATCTCAGCATGAAAAGGATAAAAATGCACAGGGCATTCTGTCGGCAGTTCTCTTGTTCCTGGGGTTCTGCTCACATATGAATTAAGCAGTCTTTTTCAATAAGTCAGCTCTTATGAGTTGTCTTTTTAGCAGCGGTATAGTTGAAAGTGCAGTGCAGTGAACGCTTCCTGCATCTTCTTGGACACAGTTACTGCCATGGGGTAAGACCAGGTCCCTGTAGCTTCAGCCAGTTCAGATCATTTTAGCATCTCAGCGTGCTCCTCCTTCGATCTGGCCAACTGCTGAGCCTGCCTGCTATCTAAGGGAGAAAATCAGTATCCTATGCAGAAGACCAGGAGAGTCTATTAACGCTATCCAAGCAGAGCAGCATGCTGTCAGTGAAAAATGTCAAGTTTTATTCTTACATTGTTCCATGTTGACCCTCCCTACACACAAACCTCCTAAAGAGCAATAAACTCTGAGAGGCAGGAGAGTGGGAGTCCTCCAAATATGTTATCCCAATCAAGAAATATTACAGAAGTATATGTCTGTGTCTTTAGCCCCTTCCCTTCCTCCTGACAAATATATTTAAATAACATCTGTGGTTGTATTAAAGCCTTGCTACAATGAGAAAGTTTGTGTGTTTTTTTATCAATAGCATATACTTATGAATGTATTCATTGTATGTCAAGTAGTAAACTCTATTACTCTATTGCAAAACTTAATTCACACAGAAGTAGTAGACAGGTGTGATGTGGGCATGTTCCATTTTCAATGCAGTAGGGAAAGGGCATACGATGCTATATTGAGCTATATCTACTTCCGATGAAAATGCCTTGCTACCTAGACTGGAACACATTTTTTCTGCTACCAGTTTTTTGTCACTGAATACACTGAATAAATATACAGTCATCTGCATTTAAAATTGTTTTTCGATTAATGGGATAGATAACTTGGGGAAATAATTACTGGCCAGATGGCAGAAAAACCTGTCATTTTTAAGTGTGAATGTACATATGCAAATCTTTCATTTGGACTGAATTGGCTGGAATGTTGGGAATTGTTTTTCTCCCATAAGAATCCTGCTTGATCTTCATTCTTAACACAATTGCCTATTTAAGCACATTATACTAATTGTATAAATCTGTATGGAAACCTTAGATTTAGGCTTAAAACTAAGCACTATATATTTAATAATCATGTATAGTTAAGAAATTATATGAAACTAAACATTGTAAAAATAAGGCATCTTTGCTCTTCAGAAAACAGGCTGTGCTTCGTTGATGCAGTAATCCCTGTTGTTCTTTTAGTAAGTTTCTTTTTATATGTCTTGAACATCTTTAATCAGTGACTGGGCATATAATCTGAATTTCTATAACCAGCTGTTGCATCAGATTTGTTTTAGGCAAATATGCCTACCTGCTTGCCTCCATTGGTGGAGGCATATAGTACCTTTGTTCTGTTTTGATTGAGGGAATTGGATATATCTAGTCTAATGAAGAGAAGAAATAGGGGTGACATGATAGCAGCCTTCCAATATTTGAGGGGCTACCACAAAGAAGAGGGGGTTGACCTACTTTACAAAGCACCTGAGAGCAGAACAAGAAGTAATGGATGGAAGCTTATCAAAGAGAGATCCAACCTAGAATTAAAGAGAAATTTCCTGACAGTGAGAACAATTAATCAATGGAACAGCTTCCCTCCAGAAGTTTTGGGTGCTCCATCACCGAGGTTTTAAGAAGAGATTGGACAGCCATTTGTCTGGAATGGTATAGGGTCTCTTGCTTGAGCAAGGGGTTGGACTAGAAGACCTTCAAGGTTCCTTCCAAATCTGTTATTCTGTATTCTGTACAACTAGTGTAAGACCTCTGGGCAATATGAGTAGGAGAGCGAGAGGGACCAAGTTACTGGATTTAAACCCTGTGAAGATTTAGTCCTTCAGCAATGCCACCTGCTCTAACAAAAACAACAACAACTCTTAAGCATCATATTTTTTTCACTGCAAATAAGCATTGTAATACATTTTTCATACTTTATGCAATGTAAGTATAACACGTGTATTTTTTTTCTTCTCTCCCATAGTATGATTTTATGGAACGTTTAGATGGAAAAGAGAAATGGAGTGTCGTGGAGTCTCCTCGTGAGCGTCGAAGTATCCAGACGCTGGTTCAGAATGAAGCCGTATTTGTTCAGTATTTGGACGTGGGGCTGTGGCACCTTGCTTTTTACAATGATGGCAAAGATAAAGAAGTGGTTTCTTTCAGTACTGTCATATTGGGTATGCCATGGCAGTGCACTCTTGGCTATAAAAAAATTGAATAAATTATGTGTGCTACCATTCAAACCTATCTTATTCAACCTTGGTTGGTCTTCTTTTCAAACAGGCATAATAATTTTACTAACCTCTAGCTGGACTTCAGCTCTGATAAGCTCAGGGGAATATTGCGTCATATTAAATATGTTCTGCCTTAGCCTGTAAATTCTTTAATACTGGCAATATCTAGAAGGGATATTTTATAGCATTAACCAGTTTCATTTCAATCTTTTGTAGCATTGGGCAGCTTAGTCTAGTGGTTAAGGCACCAGGCTAGAAACTGGGAGACAGTCTTTATGTCTAAAGTCCCACCTTAGACGTAAAAGCCGGCTGGGTGAATTTGGCCAATCATTTTATCTCAGCCCAACCCATCTCACAGAATTGTTGTGGGGAAAATAAGAGGAAGAAAGAACATTAGGCATTATTTAGTATTAGTATTATTTATAAAAAATAATGAAAGGCAGGATAAAAACAAATAATAAATAATAAAATACAATAATAAAATTAAATAGATATGTTGCTAGCAATTCATGGTTTTGTTTTTTGAAATACTGCATTAGTGTAAACCAGCTTGAGTTAGAATAATCAAGAGATAGGATAGTATAAGAAATGTATACCCATGTAAATCTTACATCTTGAAATATATACAATCCAGCCCTTGTCTCAGTACTTTCATATATTCAGAGAATCAGCAAATTGCTAGAAATGCAAAATTTTAAAATTGCAACATTCCCTTCTGTGGAGCTATATTAGAAAGTGTTGCCAGGAATAGAGTCACAGTTTATGAGAAAGTCCAAAGTAATAGGTATAATAGTTAGGTAGACTTCTTGATAGTGCAATGATAGTAATTGCCTGAAAAGGGAAGAAAAGTACAGTATTTTATTCAGTTCAGAGGTTCTTTGACACATATCCATTACCTTGACCATCAAGCCACATATATAGAGAACTGAAATACTGAGCAATATTAAATAAAAGAACAAATGTCAAAAGATATTATTCTTTGGCTAAACACATATAAAATACAGTACTGTTCTATATCTGTGAGAAGTAGAAAATCTTTATAATTTGATAAATTAATTAAGTTAAAAGTTTTTTCCTGCCATTATTATTTTTTATTATCAATGTAAAAACAATGATAATTATTGAATCACTCTGAGCAATAACTGTGGCATTCTTTCCCTTCTACTTCACCTTCTACACCAATGTATAAATTGTGTGCTTATAGAGACACACAGATATGGATTACTAAATATATATAACTTTCAGTATAAATATTTCATTTTTTTATTATTATTATTGTTGCTCCCTCAACAATAATGGTCTCAAGTCTATAACACCAAGCTGGCAGGAGAAAAAGGCACAAAAATTAATTTCAGTACAACAGTCACTGGAATTCTTACAGAATGGCTTCATTAGCTTTTTTGAACTAAGTGTACTTATGAGAACTTTTGTGTCCTTCGAAGTCTAATTGTGTAGTTTGTTGTCTGTTTGAAAGAAGCCTGACAATCTCTGGGGTGTGGGCCACGGTAACTCTTTTTCAGTAGAGGGCCCTGATCTGTGCAAAACAAACAGATGGTGCAAAATATTCATTTCTTTATATATATATAGTGAGAGATTTCAAAGATGCCAGTATTCCATCAGAGCTTGGTTTCCTTATAAAGAAATCACTGGACCTTTCCATTATGTCTGAGACCTACGGTTTGATGCACCAGCTATGCATAAGAGGAAGCAGTAGCACTCCAACAGATTTCTGTTCCTTTTCAGGCTTTAAGGGAGACATTTACTGTAGCTCTCTGGCTTTTCTCAGCATATTGATTTTCTTTGCCACACATATATTGGTGAAGATGCACAGACAAAATAAAGCAAAAGTATTAACAACACAGACTGATGCTGCAGTATGGTGGCTGCTTCCAGTCCAGACATTATGGAAAACATGGTTAAAAGCTGCCATTTTAGCATGTTTTGTTCATACAGAAATTATTGTCCGGCTATAATAATTACTACATGGAAAAGCCACATACAATATAAAAAGAAATCACACCATATATAGGAGACTCCCTTCTGAGTCATAATACACAATTGCAGTCGATTACTAAAACACAATGGCTCATTCTAATCATTAGTACAAGAGACCCCTCGCCGTGAATGTGCGATTTGGACTCATTATATAACAGAGGGGACCTCTCTGCCTCTACATTTCCTGAGATGGAAAATGGGGCTGCTAAATGCCTTCAAGTGCAGTAAATTCTTTTTTTTCCCCACAGAGAAGAAATAGCTACTCAACCAAAAAAAGAAAAAGAAAAATAGACAAAGTCTTTAGTAAAATTTAGAAAATGTAGTGTTCAGAAGCTTAAGATTTTCTTCTTTGTTCAGGCAATTTCTAATTATTGTGAAGTGAATTTCAGATGTTGAGATTTCATTAAATGCATGAATATCAAAAGCAATGTTAACTGGAGAAATAACTGACAAATCGGTGATGTCTGTCTTTCAGATTCTGTACAGGACTGTCCACGCAATTGTCATGGGAATGGCGAATGTGTATCTGGAATCTGTCATTGTTTTCCTGGCTACCATGGGGCAGACTGTGCAAAAGGTAGCGATTAACTTGCTTTTCAAATGCTACTTACTCTGTAGTTTATTCTAAATCATAGGAAAAAAAATTTCATAGCAATTATGTATTTTTTCAAAGAACCGACACAACCACAGTTTCCCATGGGAAGGATTTTTATAATTAATTTTAATTTTTTTATTCCGAATCTATCTGGATCCTTAGTCATTTTTTAACTTTCCAGAATAAGCACTCTAAACACTTTTTGCTGTTTATTTCAAAAATATTCTTCCAAGCCCTTAACATCGTATTTAAAACTTCTCTCTTTAAGAAGTAGGGTCACTTGGTGGATGCAATAAAAACTTGCAGCTCCAAAGGGTCTTGATATTTACAAAGCAGTAAAAAGTAACCACAAAGTTGATTAAGGAATGAACTTGGTCAGGTTTTTGGCCCATAAAAGGCTGTGTTATGACTATATCCCTCATCTCCCAGCCGCTCAACCCATAAGCCACCTGCAAAGCCTTAATTCTTGTAGTTTGCTCATAAGGAGCAGCTGTCCAGAGTGCTCATGGAGTCTCTGGAGTGATTTCTCCAGCCAGGAGAAATTCAAGATCCAGCCACTGATCTCCACTTTAAATACCATCCATTTCATCAAGGACATTGCCATGGCACTCACCAGAAATCTTTCTTTGTTGCATGTTGAGTTTGCCCTTTCTAACTCAAGCAAACACAAAGCAGAGTAAAAATGTTAGCCGTCATTTCTTCTGTCCATCATCCTCATTTAATTGAATACACTATAATAACATCCAAAGAAAGTTCTACTGTATTGCTTTCCAGGTAGTCCTCAACATACAACCATTTGTTCAGTGACCAAAATTATGTCAGTTTTGAATAAACAATTTGTGCCTGAAGGTAGGACCATTGCAGCAGCTCCATGTTCACATGATCAAAATTTAGGCACTTGGCAATCATTTGCACTTATGACTGCAGGGGTGGTGCAGCTCCCTCCCCCATCTATCTCCCCCTATCTATATCCCTTGAGCTCCCTGGACTTCATAGTTGCTGACATGTCTAGCTGATCTTCACTGTCTTTTCCCTCCTGCTACTGATGAAACAGGTCTGGCATGGTCCTCAATGAGGCAGCTGCTGGTCATAGAAGGCTTTCTTCCCAAGGTCACACGCTATGGTTTTCTTTCAAGACTTGGAGAAGAAGGTCTCACACGTTTTCTGCATGGAAGGCCAGGGCAGGAATGTTACATCAGCAGAGAAAGAAAAAAGACAGTGAAGGTCAGATTGCACAGCAGAGTGCAGGACAACAGGGGCATCACAGTGCAGGGTGGCAAGGGAAACTGTGATTGGGACCTGGGGTTTGGGTGGCTGCAGCTTTGCACTGAACTGCTGGACCTGGCTGGGCTTCATGTTGCAAAGGACTTCTTCAAAGGACTTCCCAAGAAGGCCTTTGAAGTAGTAAGCCCAGTTCTTCACAGAAATCCTTCACACTGCAAAACTTAAAAAAAAAAAACCTTTGTGCCATGCATTGGGGCTTCCTGGGAAACCCTTCATAGTGCAAAAAAGCCCACCCCTTTGCAGATGCCCTCACAAAAACCCTTTGCACCATGAAAAAGCCCCTTTTTCCTGTGCTGTTGGGGTTCCTTGGGAAGCCTTTTGCAACACAAAAATTGCCTCTGCATTGTGCTGCTGGGTCAGGGTGGGGCTGGGCTTCGTGCTGCAAAGGGCTTTCTAGGAAACCCCATCATGGCCCAGCAGCACAGTGCAAAGGAGATGCTTGTTGCATCAGAGCCCAGAGCTGAGGCAAGCTTAGCAACCGTTCTGTGCCATGCTACTGAGTCAGGCTAAGGCAGCTGAAGCTACCAGGGGTATCTATGGAAAAAACAGACAAAGACAAAAGAATCTAATTGAAGAATCACATCATTCTATTTAACCAGTGCAACTCACTTCTGAACTGTGACTTATTAAAAGCAACTGTACAGTACAGAAGCCTTATCTCCACTATGTTCTGGAAGTTTACATTTCTCCTTGTTTAATGTTGCATGATATTTTCCATACCATATGGTTCAAATTGTAGGAGAAAAAAGATTGCATATATCTTAAGATTATAACTCAATCATAACTACCATACAAAAGTAAAAAGAAATGCTTTGCTACCTTCATCCATAACAAAATGCCGGCTACCCTGTAACATTTAGATTTAAGCCAAACAAACAAACTGATAAGCATTCAGGAATAGTAGACATTCATTATATAAGTAATGATATTCTACACAAGATTTCTACTTCTCTTTTAGGTTGATACTATTGTAGTTAACTGGTTTGTCCAAATTACTTCTGTCCTGTTTGTACTGGAAGGTCTTATACCCAATGAACTACCTTCTGTCATTTAAAAAATATTCAGGGCAGCTTAAGAGCTTATTGATTGGGAATTTTTATAATGCTCAAAATGGAGGCATCCTCATATCTCTCCAGGTATTTAAAATGAATTGAATTAATCATAGGCTTAAAAGTCTCTGGTGATCTTTGTTAACTTCTTTGGGTTTAATTAAAACATCTGTGCACTTTTAATTTATCGATTCATCCAACTCATATGTCATGATTTTTAAGACACCCCAGCATGCTCTGCATCATTTTTAACCCAATTTCCACTTAACTAAAGCAATTAAATTCACCCTGGATTAATTAAAGCATCCATACTTTAGTGCTTAAGTCAGCGTGTGCTGCTTTCCCCACATGGTTTTTGAATATTAGGGATTTGACACACCTGATGAGTTTTTTGTCCTATGATTCTCTGCCTTGCCTGCTAACGTGTAGTTTGATAGCACAGGAGAGTAAACTTTTTAGATATTGTATTTCTACTCCAGTTCTCATTGGAATGATGAGATCTTTGAGCCCTTGTTCCTAAAATCAGGGATGTAAGATAATATACAGTACACCATTCTACAGAAAATTGATGGATAGCATAAAGAAATAAGTGTTATTACAAGAGATAAGAGAACTCACAGTTCAATGTTAAATATTTAGGATTTTTTTTTATAATGCCTCAATAAATATATAAGACAGACTGCTACAAAAAATTCTTGAATAATTAGAGAAGTTCTACAATGCACCAATTATCTAAAGACATTATGGGTTTCCCTCAATTAAATGTATTCAGGTGGGGGCTAAACAGTCATTCTCTGGATGCTTTATACTGAACTTTACACTGAGAAATAGAATTGTATTCAGTGACCTAAATGGTTTCATCCAGTGTTTTGATTTTCTGGTTGTTGTGTTTTTTTGTCTACTTAATTCATCTTTGTCACATGAGGTCCAGCTACAGCCATTTCAGGATTGGGTGGAGAAGCTTGGTTTGGGAAACTATACTAATGACCCAGTTGGATTGTCAGGATGTGCTTTCTGTATGACTATTCTTAAGATTCTGAAAGATTCTGAAAGATTCAATTTTGCCAAATGTGCTTGTCATTTATGTTGATTAAAGTATATTGTATTCATTTGGATGTCCTACTTGCCCCCATATAAACCTCAACAATATTAGCAACCAATTATTTGAAATAGGTCTGTATCTTATTTTAAGAAGTTCATGGAGGTTTAATTCCACACACCCTTATAGACAGCCAATTTGGTGTTGTGGTTAAGATATCAGGCTAGAAACTGGGAGTGTGAATTCTAGTCCTACCTTAGATTACCTTGATCCAATTAGTCTTTGTCAGCGCTAGCACGGGTGTCACTCACCATGTCGTGTTGCGACATATCCTGACTTTTTTTTTGCATTGCTGGAGCTGGGATGGGCGCAGCCTCTGTATGATGCAACCGGCCCATGGGCCTGCAGTTTTACACCCCTGGCACTAGGAAGTAGGCAATAGCAAATCATTTCTGAAATCTTTCCAAGAAAACTGCAGGGACTTGCCCAGGCAGTTATCAGGAGTCAAGGCTGACTAATCGGAATCAAAAACAAAAATAACCCTTCTTATGGGAAATAGTTTATAAGGTAAAGGACCGTTTCTTTAAAAAATCTCAATGAAGGATTATTGTCTTTTTCCAAGTAAAGCTGGCATTAGTTTTACAATACCAGGTCAACTTTCTCTATTTGCCTAAAAACTTTAATTAAAGTAAGTCTATTAGCTATGTTGTTCTCTAGTGGCAATTATGACACTATTGTTTATTGCCTTGTTATTTGTCATACTATTTGGCTTTATTTGGCTGATTATTCATGTATTGTACATATCCTGGTATCTGTAAGAATAAAGGGCAAATTAGACAGGCAGTCCTCTTCAAAAGAACTTGAAGGATTGAAAAATCATCATCCTTCAAGGAATTTGTCTTTGTAAGGCCTAAGCAAAGAAAGGATATACTCTATTTTAAGCTCTGTTACGCTGCAAACTGTGATTAGATGTCCAAATCTTAAGAAAAAGCAATATCAAAGTAGGAAAAATAGAGATTAGGAAACACTATCTAATATTTCTTTCCTTAGGGAAAACATATCCAATATCATACGAGCAGCCGTTTAATTCCTATTAAAGGAATGATCTAGTCTGACTTATTGGAGATGCAGAATTAATTATCCTCTTGAAGAAGGATTCTCAGAGGGTCAGCTTGTAGAGTACTGACAATAGATTTATTGCATGTCAGTCTATACTGTCCTTCCCAGCGGTCTGTAGAATAATGAACTTTTTCCTTCATAGTCTTTTAGTTCCAAGACAGGCACATGAGAATTTGCATCCCAGGAATAAGTAGAATCCATCTTCCCATCGCATACACACATTTAGACTTTTATGTGCAGAAGTAAGAATTAATAGATATTTATTTATCCTGCTTGATCTTTGCCTAGTTGGACAGGACTAGTTGGCTGTTCTTACAGTACATCTTGCAATCCTCATCATGGCAGCAACTGCTAACCAAATAGGTTCCTATCAGGAAATGTAATAGTGGTGCTGTTCTGATGCCATCATTTTTTGAATCAGAAGAGGGTTTGGTTTTTTTAAAAGAAGACTAATAACATGATAATATAATTGGTTGACTATTTTAAAAAAAGACAGTTTGTGTCTGAATGGTAAGTGTCAGAAAAGGCATTATTTTGGAAGTTTGTTTTGTTTTGGAAGTTATAAGCATAAACCAGAAAAACTTCTTAATGCTTTCCATTCTGTCCAGGCATTTTTTTTCATTCCATACATATATTTAGGCAAGCATAGAAATATGTCACATAGAATAACTTGGTATTATTATTATTATTAAGTATTCGAATTATAGGCTTTCTTCTTAAATAATTTAGAGCTGAGATTTTTTTGGTGGTCTCCCATCCAAATACCTAGCTAGTTTAGTTTTTGGAGATCAACCAAGGATATACTTTATGATAATTATATTATAGAACACAGTTTGGTGTAGTGATTAAGGCACCAGAATCTGTGAGTTCTAGTCTCGTCTTAGGTACAAAATCAGCTAGGTTACTTTGGGCCAGTCACACTCTCTTAGCTCTAGGAAATAAGCAAGGCAAACCTCTTCTGAAATCTTGCCTGAAAAATGCAGGGAATTGTCCAGGCATCAACATTGATCTGAAGACACAAAAATACTTAATAATATACTGTATTATAAGCAGGTTCAACCATATTTGAATGGAAAATGTACTGCATGGTATAATAGTTGTGAACTGTCTAACATTCCAGCTAGTTCCACTAAAAAAAAAAAACATCATTTCAACAGCCATAATCAATGAAGACCCATATGCCTGGGCAAAGTTGGGTTTTTAAGAACTTGATATGAGTTTATTTTTAAATCATGGAAACTATATCAAAGTTTCTCTGAAAAAAATGTGAGGTTGTGAAAAGAAAGTCTGTAAATGAAGCTTTGCTTGTTTTATTCTAATTTGTCAAGGTGTGACTCACTACTATAGCATCTAATAACATTATTTTGCCTTAGAATTTACTCCATCTTAAGAAACTATTCATGTTGGTATTATTAATACTTAAAATAATATTTATACTTAATGTTGTGACATTAAAATTACTTAGAAAAAAATATCTGCAAGGATAATGCTGTGATTTTCAATAGCCCCAATCATATATTGTTTTATATAGTGATTTGTTAATGTAATTGATTTCAAAAATGATCAATTATGGCAACTGTGAAAATGGTTGCATTTATTGAAATAATGCTGGCAATATAAAAGTTTGATTCAAACCCTACAATGGAGATTCTCTTTTTATCAAGATGAAGATGCTTCAGCAAAAATCTTTTGCATCTCTAGATACCTAAAGCCTAAATTACCTAAAATGGTAACTCAGAACAGCATGTATTGCCTTTTTTTAATTCAAACACTTTTTAAAGTCTGTTTCTTGCTAGTAAAGTCAGCATACCCTTACACAAGTTCATTATTGACATGCTGTTTTGTTTCCTTTTTTCCATTCAATTATCCAGCTGCGTGTCCAGTTCTGTGCAGTGGCAATGGACAATACACCAAAGGAGCCTGTTTGTGCTACAGTGGCTGGAAAGGGCCAGAGTGTGACATACCCATCAGCCAGTGTATTGATCCGTCATGCGGAGGCCATGGTTCTTGCATTGAAGGGAACTGTGTTTGCTCTGTAGGATACAAAGGCGAAAACTGTGAGGAAGGTAAATGCTGCTATACAAACTACATTTGTTCACCTTGTATTGAGTAAAGAGGGCGAGAGGACAAAAGGAAAAATTCCATAATGCTCTGATACACAACTACTGTAATAGTCCTGGAGCAGAAGTTCAGGATTTCAGCATCTTCTGTGTTACTGGTTGGTGTGATTTGTATTTATGCTTCTTTCTTTCCATGTACTTAAGGATCTTAATAATTTCAGCCATTGCAAAATAACACACCACAGGTAAACCTGAGTGATTCTTTTGTTATGGGGTCTGGATCTATCTTTTCTTTTCTTTGGGGGTATGGATTTTATTGACTGAGCATTTTTAAAGTGCAAAATGCAGAACAAAACAAATAAAAAAGATGGTATACAAAATGGCATAATTGGAAACCTATAAAAGCAAACACTTCAGTCATAATTAATTCAGAAAAAGAGGACCCAGATTTGAAAGACTACAGGTATCCATGTCACTTAGAGACCCCATGTAGAGTAAATTATTCTTGTTACATGCAATCACATTGAATTAAAGGAAAGTAAGTGGTATACAGAAAGGAAGGCAATTTAATGAATTCTTAAAAAGCACTTTGTATTGAACATTTAAGTAGCTAAAGTTTTCTGCAAAAGGTGTGAGGGAGTGCCAGGAATAGGAAAGCGAAAAGTTTTAACTAAATTGAAATGACCAAATATGGCCAGGAATTGGATTTTGCTTACAATTAATTTTTGTCCCCTGTGATGCTTAAAATGGAAAGTTCTCCAGAACAAGGCAATTGCTAGAAGCCAAAAATAGATCATACCAGACAAACTTAGTGGATAAGAGAAATGCTGTAAGCATAGCTTAGTTAGACTTGGTAAGATAGGTCAATGTGGAATAGACAATACCACCACCAAATGGATTTGTAACTGGCTGACCAACATCACTCAGTAGGTAGCCCAAAATGAAACTTGGAGGAAACCATGCAGTGGGCTGCTCCAAGGTTCTGACTTAGGCCCAGTACTCTTCAACATCTTCATAAATGATTTAGATGAATGGATAGAAAGGGAAGTCATCAAATTTGCAGACAACACCAAGCTGGCCAGAATAGCTAACACTTTAGAAGATAGATTTGAAATTCAGAAGGATCTTGATAGACTTCAGCACTGGGCCCTATCCAACAAAATGCAATTCAGTAGTGAGAAAAGTAGGGTCCTACACATGGGCAACAAATAACCAAATGCAGAGGTATAGAATAGGTTGTACCCGGCTCAGCAGTACTAACTATGAGAGGGATCTAAGTGTCCTTATAGATTATCACTAAAGTAGGAGTCAGAGGTGTGCTGCAGCAACCCTATTATTCTATATCCTATGTTCTATGGTTGACTTCAGCAAAATGTCCTATCCTTAAAGCAAGCAAGGTGTCTGTCTCTATTTAAACCAGTGGTTCTCAACCTTTTTAATGCCGCGACCCCAACTGGTCGTAAGTCGAGGACTAAACCGGTCGTAAGTCGAGGACTAAACCGGTCGTAAGTCAAGGACTACCCAACCGGTCGTAAGTCAAGGATGTTCCCTGCCCGGGAGCGCCGCACATGCGTGGTTCCGCCCCCTCGCCGGCCGAGGCATAGCTGGCAAGTGGCNCCCCATGAAATGATCGATCGACCCCAAATGGGGTCCCGACCCACAGGTTGAGAACCACTGATTTAAACAGTATTATTGGTATCCAGCATCCAATGTATATCTGATGATATCTCAAACAGGAATGAAGGAAAGGAAGTTTACTGTTTTCCTGTTCAGGTTAATCTCTCATAATTATTTTCAGTGTCACTTCCAATATTCATTCATTCATTCATTCATTGGATTGCATCATATCTTACCTTTTCTCACAGAGTTCAAGGGAATTACATGAGACTTACCCTTTTGAAGAAGGTTGGACTGAAATATAATGTTAGATTGAAAGCTACCTTGAATATGAAATTCTAGGGGAAGACTTAAACCAGAATTTTCCCAAACCTCCTCCAGTATTTTATCTACTTGACCTATTTATTTATTTTTCAAATTTATATGGCCATCCGCATCACAATAGGACTCTGGGCAGCATAAGCAATTAAACAAAAATATAAATATATAAAACAATGAATTTTAAAAATACAAAATCATTTCTAAAAAAGCCAGACATATTTACTATGCATAAGGTAGTGTAAATGTCTTATTATCAGTGATGTTTTAAACCTTGATTTAATAAGTAAATAATTGTGTGCTTTAAGTGTGTGTGTGTGTGTGTGTGCGCACACACACACACACACACACACACACATATATATATATATATATATCCGCAGAGCTTATGTTAATAAGTTAAACTTCATATCTGTCACTGAATGGTCAAATTGTCCACAGAAATAGCAATGATATCATTTATGTTATATTTATGTAATCTGTATTTATAGAAAGCTTTCAACATCCAGCTCACAGACCCTATCAGATCCACTAAGTCAGCTTATTCAGTTTGTGGGTGGCTGAGCAATTCTTTATATTCCTCTTGCCAATATCAAGAGTTAGAGCAGGCATTGCAGCTGCACCAAGAATATGCCTGAATCAGCCAGTCTGTACCTTTCTCCTTTCTCTGTTTCTCTGGAGAAATTTTTGCAAATGTATGTTAAATATAATCCGTTTCAGTATCCTCTTCAAAATAACAGTATTTTATGAGAGTCTCAATAAGTGCATTTAGTTCAGGAAAACCTAGTCAAATATTTATGACTGAAAGAGCCCTTAATTCCAGTGCTTTATTCATTCTATTTAAGAAATAATTATAAAATTAATGCAAATCTTTCTTTGGAAAATTTCTGAAGTAGATATTTAAAACAAATTCTCTGCATAGCTATTTGGACTTTATAGCCTACAAAACCTATACCCTAGGATAACATTCTTTAATCAGCAATTTCATGATCCTGGTGTTTCCCTTCTCCCATAAATCTGTGCACAGAAGAACATCATGTGCATGTATGTATTTGAGTGTGTGGTAAAAATATATAAATACACATTGGACCTGATACCATCCTGGTCAAATTATCTGGGGAAACTAATTTGTCCTCATAGGAAAAATACAGTATAGAATCATCACATTTATGATTATCTTATAGAATAGAATAGAATAGAATAGAATAGAATAGAATAGAATAGAATAGAATAGAATAGAATAGAATAGAATAGAAGCTGGAAGGGACCTTGGAGGTCTTCTAGTCCAGCTCCCTGCTCAAGCAAGAGAACCTATATCATTTCAGACAAGTGACTGTCTAGTCACTTCTTAAAAACCTCCAGTGATGGAGCGCCCACGATTTCTGAAGACAAGCTGTTCCACTGGTTAATTGTCCTCACAGTTAGGAAGTTTCTCCTTAATTCCAGGTTGCTTCACTCTTTGCTCATTTTCCAACCATTGTTTCTTGTCCTCTGGTGTTCTGGAGAATAATTTGACCCCCTCTTCTTTGTCGCAGCCCCTCAAATACTGGAATAATTTAATTTGGCTTTTAACTTACCTTTACAAGCCTATTTCATCCTGTTTTTAACCTCAAACTAGTTTTCATCTCCAAGTTCTTTCGTCAAGAAAAGAAATACTATAAACTGTAATAGGTTTATTATCTTTGTAGGTAGTGCAATTCCTTTATAGATTCCAGAAGAAAAAAACTTGACATAAGTGAAATGCTATTCTTATTAAAGGCTCTCTGTGACTGCTAAACTCTGACCTCTATATATTAGTGTGTTTAGAAAGAATGAACAAATGGTTTAATCAGGAGCAAGAAAGAATAAGGAATTTGAAAGATCAATGGATTTTAGAAAACATGTATAAATGAAATATATATATATATGGTTCAGAAAAATCACAAGAAAAAATCCCATGCATCGTTTAATAAACCAGAATTCCATAATATTGGCACTGTCTCTTCAAAATAACTTTCATTTTGTTGATATTGTGCAAAATTCTTTAGGAGATACTAGGTTAGTTGCATATAAAATAAATTCTTAGGCAATTATTTAATAGTTTAAAACATTTATTCCATGTAGCAATAGCAACAACCAAATAAACATATCTGATTTTTTATTAAAAGGTAAAAAAAATCTCTATTGATTTGTGCTTTGAAAAGAATGGACTGAGGTTGATTCATATGCTACTTTCTAGCTATGAAATGGAATTGGATACTGTAGGTCAGCACTTTTTTCCCCGTTAGCTGTTTATTTCAGATATTCATCATAGTCATATTGTTCAAACAATTTACCTGAAATGGCCATGGCACTGAAATCGATATATGTGATACACAAATTTTGCTGCGTACACTGTTGCTCTATTAAAATTGCACACACAAAAAATTGAAATAGCTAACTTGTCAGCCTTCATTTAGTGCAATTTGGGGTAGAAAGTGAGTAAAATTAACAAATTAGATTAGGTTAATAGTATTTTTGTTGTCACTTTTATAGCTGTGCCATTTTTCAAAGGTATTTAACTTTATAAATACAATTTTTAGCCCTAGGGAATTTTGCATAATACAGTATTGGAAAAATGCCTTGACCTTTTTTGTCCTTGTGTGATTGAATATATGTATTCTACCTTTAAGATAGTTTTTCTTAGGGTGGAACAGTGAGAATGTCATATCTATGGAAACTCTGTTACTAGGTTTCAGCTAATAATCTAAGCCAGTGATGGCGAACCTATGGCATGGGTGACAGAGGCGGCTCTCAGAGCCCTCTCTGTGGGCATGCGCACCATCGCCCCAGCCCTGCCTCCCCCCACGATCTCCTCCTCACCAGCAGCCCCCCCGGAGGAGAGTCACCCTTGAGCATGGCCCGCACGGAGCAGTGCAGCCAAGGACATGGCAGCCAGGCAGCAGGGACATGACTCCGCCCTTGCACCCTGTGGCGCGCAGTTGATGCTACAGGGCACAGGTGGAAGGCGTGACTGCCATAGCACTGCTGGGCCGCCTGGGTGATCTGCGGCAGGCCGTAGAGGCGGTGGATGGCCCTGCGGATGGGGCGGA